CTTCAATCGAGTCACACACAGTTTAACTTATTAGTACTATATGTGTTTTATTTTGTTCAATTAGTGTTGCTGCCCTCGTTATTGTTGTTGAAATTGTTTTTGATTGTGTGTTTGTTTATCAATTAGTTATTCACTATTAAATAGCAGTATATTTTGTTTCGTAGCATAGTATGTACATATGATATATGTTAATTAGTTAAATCGTCCTGGTATAGTATGATACTGTTTTTAGGAGTAATTCATTAAAGTATTAAATCATACGGTAATTTAAATGAATGTCGGTAACCTCTTATCTTTTTTTAATCCCAGTATGAACAATGGCTGGTTATGGCTTTACAAAATAAAAACCATATTTTAATATTCTGCAGGAAAGTCGCCGAGGCAAAACGTTTAGTGATGGACTCTTGCAAGAAGCTTGAAGAAACCTCCTCAGACCGAAATAATTAGAAGGTACTACATTTTAGAATTGAAGAGCTATGCATTCTTTTATCGCGCGCAATTTTGCAAAAATTTAAACAAATGGATAAAACAAATATTTTGACCGAGTTCCCAGAGCAAATCTTCATCAAGTATTTGCTATCCGAATGTAAAAATAACTTTTATAATGGAATCAAAGCTCTTCGACCAATAGTTCAACTAATTTGTAGAATTTTTACACCCTATGTATTCACTGGCAGATATTGAAGTCTACTCTGTTTTACCATTTTTCGGAATGCGATGATTTTAAAATAGTTCATTATATGAAAATAACTATTTTAATTAAAATATTTCAAATAGTCCAAATAGACTCAATCTGGCTAAATCTCAATACCATGTCAAGCACTATTTCACGCAGTTGATGTTGGCATACAGTAGATGTGGCATGCTTTATATTGGAGAAACTGGAAGACCTTTGAGGACAATGTTTGGTGAGCATCGGCGTGTAGTCATTGGCAATGAATGCTAACCAGCCTGTTGCCATGAGACATTTCAATACTGGCAATCACAGAGTTTCAGATATGGAAATTCGAGCCCTCTGTCCCATTTCTGGTCGCAACGATAGCCGAAAAAGACATGAAATCAGGCTTTCTTGCCATCCTACTTTTCCTACTTTTTCCTACTGTTCTTCAACTTTCCTACTTTTCCTATTTTTTATTAAAAATTGCTTGATTTTCCTACTTTTTCTCATAAAATCCTACTTTTTTAAGGCATCTTGGGGAATCAGTATGTTAATGTCTTAACTGTTTGTTTACCTATAGGACTCGTAATTTTTATTCCCTATTCGTGTCCAAGATGATGAGATCTCAAGATGAGAAGAAGTACATTTTCCCAGTGATCTCTAGAATCATAATCAATAAATTAATGAAGACTCTAAAAATGCCATTTCCGACGATTTAGCGATTCCAAATATTCAACCCCA